CGCGGACGAGTAACGTTAGGTTACGGGTAGGTAGTAGAGAGGTAGGTACGAAATAACTACTGTACTATTTACTACTACTAGTAGTGTGTAGTAGTTCTTATTATATATATATATATATATATATATATATAAACATGTATTATTTAAAGAAACAAATTTATATAGAGCAGAGGCTTTAAACAATCAAATTAGAGCCCACCTCAAAAAATTTATTAGAAGAGGTTGTTTTAATGTGCAAATAACTTCAAATTGATCATCTCGACATTAAGATCTATGGACATCAGAAAAAAATAGATTTCAAGTTTTGAAAATAGTGCATCTTGTAACGAATATTGGACAATCAATTTTTAAGATTTTTAAATTTTCAATTTTCAAAGATTTGGTTGATCTACACTATTTTTTTAATCTTTAAAGTTTATAAATAAAGATGAAAATATATTTTAAGACTATGACAAAGATTTCCAAGTATTGAAACCACATTTGTTGACACTATTTAAAGATGTGTTTGCTTTGATTGTTTAGAACCTCGGCTCTATACAAACTGCACCTTATTTAAATACCATAACTTAAAAGGTGTGGTTTCTATAAGGTTGCAACTTTAAACAATCCAATTAAGGCGCACCTCCAAATTTTATCATAACATATAATTTTGCTGTAAAAAATTATTAGGATTATCTAAAAATCTATTTTTATATCTAATTATAAATTTTCAAACCCTAAAAATGGTTAAAATGAAGTAGATCAATAAATAAAAAGTTCAAAAAATCAATGACCCAATCTAGAATCGGACGATTTGGATTGAGAATCGCCTAGGACGCTCTGGATTAGGCTAAAAAATAGGATTAGGGGGGTTCCAAATAGTAGAATCGCTTATTTTTTGGCAGAACCGTCGATTCTTTATTGAGTTCGACGGATTTTGACCGATTCTTCATCAAGCCAAGCAAAAAAAAAGAAAAAAAAGAAGGATGGACAGTTATTTCTTGAATTATTTTATAAAAAAGTCGAAACAAAAATTACTGATACCGCCAATTCTTTCGTTCCGATTCACTTATTCCCTCGATTCGACATGGGAATGGGTGTGACCGGTTTGAGTCACTGATCCGTTTTTTTAAACCTTGGATAAATATATGAAAATCTTGAAAATTGACGGTCTGGATAACGTGTTGCAAGATGCATTATTCTAGGACTCAATTTTTTATTTTTATTTTTTTACATATTCATACATCTCGATGTTGAGATGATCAATTAGAGGGTCTTTCAACATTAAAACAACCTTTTTTGATGGATTTTTGCGGTGCATATGTAATTCTACATTTTAAGATTGCAACCGTATATAAACTTTTTCCTAACTTAAAATATATTGTTATATTGATCGAGACCCGGATAGTTTTCGGTCCAAAATTTGAACCTAGACCCGACCGGCTAGTTCCAATTTTTGGACCCATACCCAGACCCGGGTTGGGTCCAATCATCGGGTCCGGGCCCATTGTCACCTCCTAAACTAGAGTCATGAAAACACTTCTCACTTCTCCCGTATGACCAAACCATGCATGTTTATTGGGTAAATCGGTGGGAAATAAAAATCCTAAATTTTGTCTCAAATGAAAATTACCATGTATGTGTATTGTGTAAATCTGAGGGAAATTGTCACTGCAATTTACACTATACATTGTTCACACGGTGCTTAGCCAACGGCTAAGATGAGCTGGGTTTCTCACTTTTGTCATGCAATACTCGACATGTGGCCTGCTCTAGGGCTTAGCTACTTGGCACGTCTAATAATTCTAGTTTTTATTCTGCGCAATATTTGCTTGCTCTTGTTACTGACGGAGCAGATGTACACTGGCTCCTGCAGGAACATAGTACATGTGCCAATAAAGTACTTGGGCCTATCAAATTTTGTTTTTCAGAAGGTGTTTTCACGGAAATAAGGGGGTGAATATCCATTAGAGTTGGCGGTTTCAAAGGTGTCTGATGTTGTTGTCAATCTTAGGAGAAGGTGAGTGAAGTGTTTGAAAGGGATAGGGATGCTTGGGTAATGAATTGTCGTTCTAATAGAGTTAATGATATTTTCATTGATCAATATTTAGCATTACTTAAAATGTTAGAAGGAGTGAAGATCTTCCAAAATATAGAGGATGGATTGGCATGGGAAGTTGAAAGTGATTGGTTGTTTTTTAGTAGAATCCGCATACAATCTTTTGTTCCATGATAGGATTACAGTAAAGGTTTTTTTATGGGTGTTGTTTCAAGGTAAAACATTGATAGTAGACAATCTAATGGAAAGAGGGAGAACCTTTACTAATAGTTGCCTTCTTTGTAAGGAGTGATGAAAGTAGTGCGCTCCGAAGCTCTAAAAACGATGGGTTGATTTTTGAACAATAAAATATGAAAAATAAAGCACGAGACGCATATCACAATAATATAAAGATTTACGTGATTCACCCAAAAAGGACTAAGGCATGGCAAATAGAAATCAACTATATTAATGAAAATTACATCAAAGATTTTGGAACAAACCTCAATAAAAACTGAATCGAGCAAACCCCTTTTAAACCACTCTCACTTCCTTCTCATTACTTCTGGCAACCATTACCAACACCAGACAGAGACGCGAGAGCAATGAAAAATCGACTTTGTCTTTAACTAAAAGGAAAAACAACTCAAAATCTCTATGAAAAGTACTTTTCTACAATAAACCAACCTCTCACTCTGTAGGAGGCTCTATCTCCCTCTCTCTCTAGAGGAACCACCATTCCCATATACCCAAATAGGGCACACAAATTTTCTATTTCCTTTAGGAAACTTATCAATATACATTTCAATCCCAAAAAATATGGAAATATCTCAATCCCACAAAATATTGGATTTTCTTATGTGGGTGATTTTGGATAGCGCAAAATCCAACACATTACCCATTTACATATGACATAGGGTGTTTTTTTTTAGAAAAATTGGTATTATAGGTTCTTTGCCTCAAAGTCATACTCACATTATTGAGTATTTGACATTCCATGGGTTACCAAAAATATGGAGCTTAATTTTTCAGAGGGCAACAGTTCTATGGGAAGTGTGGATGTAGAACAAACAGGTCTTTGAAGGTGCTTCAATGGAAAGCATAATAGTTCCAAGGAGGATTCAACATACATTGTGGAGTTGGTTCTCAATCACAAAGGAGGGATTTGGTGTTTCGAAGGTCGAAATGGAAGTAAATATGTATAATCTTATGATGCAAAGAGTAATTAAAGTGAGACCAAAAGGCCGATGGGAAGCACCAGAAGAGGGCTGCATTAAATTGAATTTTGATGGTAGCTTGTTGGGCAAC